TTGCGCGAGTCTGCGCGAGCCCGCGTAGGGTGTCTCTGTCCCTGGGGCTGGCAAAGCCTGGCCCTGGGACACAGGCAACGCATGTCTGAGCATGCGGGCGGCGGCGGCCATGGCCGCGGGACCGGCCAAAGGTCCGCGGGAACTCTCCGAACACAGAACCGTGATGGGATGCGGTCTGACGGCGTCAACGCCGGCACAGCATACAGCACGGCATGATGATACAACAAGGCCCGGGGAACGATTCAGGAGGTCCCAAGGGAACCTGCAGGGACGTACCGACGCCGACTCCAACAGCGACGGCGAACGACGACTCCAGGGGCCCGCGCCGGCATCCTGTCGGCGTATCCCTTTTTATGTCGACGGCCCAACTCCAGGGGCCGAGACGCACCAGTTTTTCGATTCGCTTCCAGCCGCGGCGGCAAGCAGGGCCTCCGAGGGCCAGGAAACCTCGACCGAACCTCGGCGCCAACCTCAAAACGGAACCGGAACCCCTCCCAGGGGCCCGCGCCGGCATCCTGTCGGCGTATCCCTTTTTATGTCGACGGCCCAACTCCAGAGGCCCAGACGCACCAGTTTTTCGATTCGCTTCCAGCCGCGGCGGCGAGCCCGCGCGGCCGCCCGAAGGAACGAGGCGCGCTCGAAGAGAGCGGCTGGCAAAGCCTAGCCTGTACTGGTGGGTGCACGGGGCCTCGCCCGCACGCACGGCACGCACGAACACGAAACCGAAATCGATTTCCCGGTAGGGGGGCTCTCCGTTCCACTTCGATCTCACCCCCCAACCTCCGATCACAATCGATCTCACAATCGACGTCGTCATCATCATCATCATCATCATCATCATCATCATCATCATCATCATCATCATCATCATCATCATCATCATCATCATCATCATCATCATCATCATCATCATCATCATCGCCATCATCAACATCATCATCATCACCATCATCATCATCACATCATCATCATCATAATCATCATCAACATCATCATCGGGACACCGACGGGACACCGACGGGACACCACCGGGACACCGGCGGGACACCGCGCGGCCCCGCGCCCCGGTGGAGAATCATTTGGTGCGGCCGCGCCTCAGCCACAGAGGACACCACCGGGACACCGGCGGGACACCGCGCGGCCCCGCGCCCCGGTGGAGAATCATTTGGTCCGGCCGCGCCTCAGCCACAGGAGACTTTCCTCTCGCCCGCCCACGCAGCTTCGCCTCGCCCGCACGCACGGCACGCACGAACACGAAACCGAAATCGATTTCCCAGTAGGGGGGCTCTCCGTTCCACTTCGATCTCACCCCCCAACCTCCGATTTTCGGGCTACCGCTCGTTCCGAATCGTGCTCCCGCTGCAGCGCTGGCGTCATCACTTCCAGCGCCATGCCACGACATGGTTTCCATCCTTCCAAACGGCCGGCAAATCTAAAAAATGCCGCCCCCCCCCCCGAAAAAACCATCGGAAGTGATTACACATTCGGTATCGATTCGTCGGTTTTCTGCGCCACAGAAGCCCCCACTTTGGGGCGTCGCCACGCCATGCTATGTCAGGTTACACGTCCTCGGTTCCGCGTTTCCGCGCTTGGGCATTTTTGTTCAAAATGCTGCTCTTGCTGAAGCGCTGGCCTCATTTACGGGCTACCGCTCGTTCCGAATCGTGCTCCCGCTGCAGCGCTGGCCTCATTTCCGCGCTTCCGCTCGTTACGAATCGTGCTCCCTCTGCAGCGCTGGCGTCATTATTTCCAGCGCCAGGACATGGCATGGTTTTTGATCCTTCCAAACGGCGGGCAAGTCTGAAAAATGCCTCCCGCCCCCCCCCCCCCGAAAAAACCATCGGAAGTAATTATACATTCAGTATCAATTCGTTGGTTTTTTGCGCCGCAGAAGCCCCCCCACGTTGGGGCGTCGCCACGCCATGCTATGTCAGGTTACGCGTCCTCGGTTCCGCGTTTCCGCGCTTGGGCTTTTGGTTCAAAATGCTGCTCTCGCTGAAGCGCTGGCCTCATTTACGGGCTACCGCTCGTTCCGAATCGTGCTCCCGCTGCAGCGCTGGCCTCATTTCCGCGCTTCCGCTCGTTCCGAATCGTGCTCCCTCTGCAGCGCTGGCGTCATTATTTCCAGCGCCAGGACACGGCATGGTTTTTGATCCTTCCAAACGGCCGGCAAGTCTGAAAAATGCCCCCCGCCCCCTTCGAAAAAAACATCGGAAGTGATTACACATTCGGTGTCGATTCGTCGGTATTTTGCGCCGCAGAAGCCCCTCCCCACTTTGGGGCGTCGCCACGCCATGCTATGTCAGGTTACACGTCCTCGGTTCCGCGTTTCCGCGCTTGGGCATGTTTGTTCAAAATGCTGCTCTCGCTGAAGCGCTGGCCTCATTTACGGGCTACCGCTCGTTCCGAATCGTGCTCCCGCTGCAGCGCTGGCCTCATTTCCGCGCTTCCGCTCGTTCCGAATCGTGCTCCCTCTGCAGCGCTGGCGTCATTATTTCCAGCGCCAGGACACGGCATGGTTTTTGATCCTTCCAAACGGCGGGCAAGTCTGAAAAATGCCTCCCGCCCCCCCCCCCGAAAAAACCATCGGAAGTAATTATACATTCAATATCAATTCGTTGGTTTTTTGCGCCGCAGAAGCCCCCCCCACGTTGGGGCGTCGCCACGCCATGCTATGTCAGGCTACGCGTCCTCGGCTCCGCGTTTCCGCGCTTGGGCATTTTTGTTCAAAATGCTGCTCTCGCTGAAGCGCTGGCCTCATTTACGGGCTACCGCTCGTTCCGAATCGTGCTCCCGCTGCAGCGCTGGCCTCATTTCCGCGCTTCCGCTCGTTCCGAATCGTGCTCCCTCTGCAGCGCTGGCGTCATTATTTCCAGCGCCAGGACACGGCATGGTTTTTGATCCTTCCAAACGGCCGGCAAGTCTGAAAAATGCCCCCCGCCCCCTTCGAAAAAAACATCGGAAGTGATTACACATTCGGTGTCGATTCGTCGGTATTTTGCGCCGCAGAAGCCCCTCCCCACTTTGGGGCGTCGCCACGCCATGCTATGTCAGGTTACGCGTCCTCGGTTCCGCGTTTCCGCGCTTGGGCTTTTTGGTTCAAAATGCTGCTCTCACTGAAGCGCTGGCCTCATTTACGGGCTACCGCTCGTTCCGAACCGTAATCCCGCTGCAGCGCTGGCCTCATTTCCGCGCTTCTGGTCGTTCCGAACCGCGATCCCGCTGCAGTATTGGCGTCTTTAATTCCAGTGCCACGCCACGGCATGGTTTCTGGTCGTCTCAGCCCCAAAATCTAAACAATGGCCTCCCGAAAAAAACATCGTAAGTGATTACACATTCGGTGTCGATTCGTTGATTTTTTGCGCCGCGAAAGCCCCGTCGCAACGCCATGCTATGTCATGCTACGCGTTAATCTTCAAAGCCATGCTATGCCATGCAATGCTATGCCATGCTACGGCATCCGATTGTGAGAATAGGGAGGAGATCTGCGCCATGGTAAGGGATGGGAGGGAGGGGTAAGACATCAGATATGACGCGAGCGCACCTAACTTGTCCTCCTCCCCCTCCCCCTTCCCTCCCCCTCCTCCTCCTCCTCCTCCTCCTCCTCCTCCTCCTCCTCCTCTTCCTCCTTCTCCTCCTCCTCCTCCTCAGCGGTCTGGACGGTCGCAAGGATTTCCCCTGCATAGAGACGGAGGGGGAGGGAGGGAGGGAGGGAGGGAGGGCGCAGGGCGGAGGCAGTGGTGTGGTCTTGAAGGGGCCCTGGGGCACAGAAATAAATAGACACAACTAGCAGGACTTCCGATATTTTCCCATACTTTCTGGGCTTTTGCCTTCCCCCCCACTTCCCATAGTTTCGCAGATTTTCCTGGGAATCGACGATGAATCGTGTCTGTGTGTTTTTGTTCCCTCCTGAGGTCTGCTGTCTCAAGCGGCCCTTCTCTAAGAGACGCCCTCTTGCCTGCGGCCCAGGCGCCGCAAGAAGGAGGGCCACTTCGGCGGCTCGGGAGGGGCTCTGGCTCCCGGGGCTGCTCCGCAGGTCTGGCTCGGCGCACCCGCGGGTGCGCAGCCCTGGACGGCTTCCGGGGCGCGATCCCGCAGATGCACGGTCGCACGGGTGCGCTCCGCCCAGGGCATCCAGGGAAAAACGCCTCGCATCCGCGGGGCCGCGGCCCAAGGGGCCCCAGCCCGCGAGGGCGCGGATACGGACACGTCGCTGCGCCGCTTGTCCTCGACGCGCCCAAGGTGGAGGCCGAAGCGCCCTCCCCCAGACGCGGGGCCGCGCGTCGGAACCAACCGCGCGGTGACACGTGTTTTCCGCCCACGAGGAGAGGCGGATGCCAGAAAGCAGGAGGAGGCTGGGAGAGGCGCAGACTGAGCGAGTCCTCGAGCAGCCTCGGGAGGCCCAGGACGTGCGCTGAAGAAGAGCACCTGCGCTCATCCGCCCCTCTCCCTAGGCAGTGCGGCGGGGAAGGCGAGGCGAGACAGGGAGGGGAGAAGAGTGGATTGCACGCCACTGGGAGAGAGAAAGAGAGAGAAACAAAAAAAAAAAAAAAAAAAAAAAAAAACGTCCAACGGTTCAGCGACAAAAAACCCAGGGGGCCCATCGGAGAGGGCCTCCTCTGCCACCGCAGCACGGCCCCCGGACGACCGCACCGTGGGCCCGCGACGGGGCCCCTTTATAAGGAAGCGAGCGCTCCGACGTCGCGAGCCTGGCAGCCTCTGGCAGGGCGTCGGGAGAAGCGGGGGAGGGGGGGGGAAGACGCGAGAGGAGGGGGAGGGAGCGTGGAGCGAGCACGGAGTGGGGAAAGAAGAAGGAGGGGGCGTGAGCACGGAGTGGGGAAGACGCGAGAAGAGGGGGAGGAAGCGTGGGGCGAGCACGGGGAGTGGGGAGAGAAGCAGGAGGGGGGCAGGACGAGGCGCGGGTGCAGGAGGCGAGGAGGACTCGAGGGGAACGCTGGAACAGCGCACCGAAGCACAGGGGCAATTCTACTCGAGGTCGCCTTCTCCTGGAGCTTCGCCAGCTGCGCCTCCAGCTTCTCGAGCGTGGGCTGGATGTCGTCCAGTGTGATGGGCGCATCGACTTTGACTCGGGCGAACAACTGGAAGGTCTCGGCGTTGTGCTTGATCGCCTTCGGCTTCGCCTTCGTCGCCTTGCTCTTCTTGCCCTTGATGGGTCCTACCTCGTCCTTGTCCTTTCTCGCCAGTACCACCAGGCCATCCATGTTCTGAGGTTCCTGTTCCCTCTTTGTATCCTTCTCCTCCTTCTCTTCCTCCTTCTCCCTCCCTGTCACAAACGACCTGCAGAACGCGATGGTCTGCTCCTGGGGCGTCGAGACCGCTGCCCCCTGGACCTCTCCACGGGCGCGTTCCGACCAAGATCTGGAGGGGAATCCGGCCTTCGCGACACGGGCGAGGTAGCTCTGGACGAGGAAAGTAATCCCCACCCCCACCAGGGAAACCTTGGCCCGCTGGGAATTCTGCCCCCCCCCCCCCCCCCCCCTAGGTGGGGATGGGTACCGTCTCCTTCGGGTTTCGGAGTGCCCTTCCCCACCTCGAGGGGGTACGTTGGCGAGCCAACGTATTCTGCCCCAGTGGGGGTGGAGATGGTTCCAACAATCATGAGTAGCGGTAACGGTACCTTTGCCTCCTCTGGGTTCCAGCAGGGTTATCTCCGCGACGTGCGGCTGCTCATCCGGCCTGTCGGGCCGCTCGAACCTCCTCGGCCGGTCCTTCGGGCAGCTCAGACACCCACCCTCGGGCCCCGGGACCTCGATTCCTCTGCATCCTCTCGGCGGCGCGCACGGGGGGGCGGGGGGGGAATTTCTGCAGGCGACATTGACACTGGAAGCAGCAGATGCTGCTTTCAAGGATCTCTGCTTGCCCTCAGAACACGCGTGCCCTCAAAGACTGCTGCGTTCACACTGAGCGCGAGGCGAGCGGTCATCGGAGAAGGCAGGGGCCTTCTCGGCAGCCCTCCCGCCCTCTGAGAAGCCTTTTTAGAAGCCCCTCGTCCCACCTCAGAAGCCCTTGCACTATCCACATCAGGGGTGTGCCGAAAGGTCCGCGGCTATCAATCCGTGAAAACAGCCGACTCCCCAGCTGATGAGAAGGGGACTCCACGATGCAACAGCCGACCACACGAGTACTGGCTCCTGCCGTCTTGGAAGACCGCCCCTCTCGCCTCGTCCCCGTGTGGCGCGCCACCAAAATCCCCCTCCCCTCAAAAAGACACTCAATATGGCCCAGTGATGCTCCACCTCTGGGGAGCCCAGGAGGTGGTTCCAACTGGTCGTCCTTGCCCCTGTCTTTGCCTTTATCTTTGTCTTTGTCTTTCTCTTTGCCCTTGCCCTTACCCTTGCCACGTCCCCAGCTGTCGTCGCCACCGCTCCGGACTCCCTTCTGCTGGTGGCCCTCGCCCTCGGCCTGCGAAAAACCCTTGCCGTAGCCACCTCGGCTGCCGTAGCCGTCCTGGCCGCCGCAGCCGTCCCGGCCGCCGCAACCATCCTTGCCCTTGCCGCCCTTCTTGCCTCCACCTTCGCGGGGCGCGGCGCTGGGGCCGAGAGAGGGTGGCCAAGGCCCTGCCGAGAATCTCTGGCACAGAACAAAGATGCCCGCTCCACCGTCTTACGCTGCACCAGGTCCGACGTGTGCAAGCCACCCGTCGGAGACGACGACGCCCCAACAGCCCTTTATCTGCCCGAGTGTCCAATGGCGCGTATTTCCCAAACCCTCGATACCCGCCCTCTTCGTCTTCGATCGAACCCCTTTTGGGGGGAATACCTATCTTCCCTGCAGGCCGGGCCCTGGCAAGCGGCGGGGCGGCCGCGGACCGTCGGCCTGGCCAGCGGCAGCGCTGATCGACGGGGCGGCCGCGGACCGTCGACCCGACCCCAAGAGGGACGGACAGGGGACCGACCACGACAACGACGACGACGACGACGACGACGACGAAGACGACGTCGACGACGACGGCGACGACGACGGCGACGGCGACGACGAGCGAAAACTGAGCGAGAGAGAACGACGGCAGGGCCACGAAGGACACGAAGTAGGCCATGAAGGGCGACAGCGGGGACACGAAGGGAATGCGTATGGGGCCACGAAGAGCGCGAACGAGCGGGGGCCACGAAGGGCAGATAATGCGGGGCCACAGAAGGCAACGATGGAGCCACTGAGGGTAGCAACTGGGCCACGTAGGACAGTGAGGGGGCCACAAACGGCGACAGCAGGGCCACGAAGGGCATGCACATGGGGCCACAACGGGCGCGACTCCTGGGTGCCTGGGTGTCGGGAGCGCGGCGCTTGAGCAAATTGCAAGAAATTCCAACGCAAGGGCGCTATTCTTTAGTAAGTTGCAAGCAAATCTCCAGCGAGAGCGCGACTCCAGAGCGCCGGGAGAGCGATTCCTGAATAATTTGCAAGGAAGTCCCAAGCGAGAGCGCGACTCCTGAATAAAATGCGAGGAAGTCTCGGGCGGGAGCGGGGGTCCTAGCTAGATTGTGAGGAAGTCTCAGGCGGGAGCCGTTGTTGCTGTAACCCGGGGGCCAGGGGCACAGTTTGAGCATCAAGACGTTCCCTGTCAAGAAACAGGGTGCGAGCGTCGAGGGGCACACTTCGATAAAGAAAAAACCGTATGCACCGGTGGGGGGGGATCAACCATAAATATGTTTCTGGAATGAGAGTTCAACAACAACAACAACAACAACAACAACAACAACAACAATCATTTTACCCGAACGCGTGGTGTTCTCCCCAGTGCCAGGGTTTTCATACGACACCAGGCAATACCCCCACTTCGTGGGGGGGCATTACAAGCTCTACCAAATATCCAAACGACTCTTCGCGACCACCCAAACCCAGCTTCCCGCCCTATGACGTTGGGACACTTCACTTCGTGGCGTGCGGACGACCGTGGCTACTACACTGGCGTGGGGTACACACCCACAGAACCCAATGGTTTTTGGAGATTTCGGCGTGCGCGCGCGAAGAAAAAACGAATGTGTCCCGCATGGTATTATTTGACAGGGATGATGGCCCTGGCAGGTGCGCAACCGTTGTCGCAGAAGTTCGAAAAAGTTGCTCGCAAAAGCCCGTTTGACAGAAATGTTTAAAAAGTGTTGGGTTTCCTACGAATCCGCAAGAGCGCGCGGGATGAGATTTTGACATTTTTTTGTTGAAAAACCATTGGTTTTTTGATGTTTTTATGTTAAAATCGCTCCGAACACTAAGCTTTTGGAAGGATTTCGTCTTGCGCGCGCGAATGTCCACTTTACCTTATTTTTTGCAAGGGATTCTTGAAATTTGATTATATTAGAACAAGAAATGTCATTTTATAGTGTTTTTTGCAAGGGAAAACGGATTACAACAAAACAACCGGATCTTGATCACCTCGAATTACCTGAGGCTTCCTCACGAAAATGATGAAAACGTGGCTGCGGCCTAGGCGCGGCGGGGGGGGCGCGCACCAGGGGGCCCAACAATAATTATTCTTTAGAATTAATAATGTTCAACAACAACGACAACGACAACGACAACGACAACGACAACAGCAACAGCAACAGCAACAACAACAGCAACAGCAACAGCAACATCAGCAACATCTTCATCATCATCATCATCATCATCACCATCATCAGAATCATCATCATAAGCATCATCATCGTCGTCACCATCATCATCAACAACAGGCATATCTGCTTGTGTATCACTCAACATGTGTGTCTCAATCACTCGATGCCCGCCCTCTTCGTTATCGATCGTACCTCTCTTAGGGGGGACCCTTCCTTACTGGAAAGGTGTAATTGGCGCAGCCCCGAAAACAGGGAAGGAAGGGAGGAGGGAAGGTACAACGGAGATGGAGAAGGATGAAGCACGAGAGAGACTTTCAGGAGGGGGGGTGAGGAGCAGGACAACAGGCGGCAAAACCAGACAGGCGTGTCTGGCGGGACCCTATCAGGCGGGCCCTGCGGGCGGGACCAGACGGCAAGGTCGAGCGGCCGGGTCGCTGGAACGTCCCCCTCCTCCTCCCTCCTCCTCCTCCTCCTCCTCCTACTCCTCCTCCTCCCCCTCCTCCTCCTCCTCTCCTCCTCCTCATCCTCCTCCTCCCCCTCCTTCTCTTCCTCCTCCTCCTCCTCCTCCTCCTCCTCCTCCTCCTCCTGCTCCTCCTCCGTACCCCCTTTGGAGTTTTCCGTGAGTCGCTAGGATTTGTTTAACGACAGCGCGATTCCCAAGGAAATCGTGAAGTAATCCAAAGCGAGAACGTGATTCCTGAGTGTCGGGGGCGCGGCGCTTCAATAAATTGAATGAAGTACCGCGCGAGAGCGCGAATCCTGGATAAATGACGTGGAACTCTCGAGCAGAAGCGCAATTCTTCAAGAGCATTTGAAGAAGTATGAGGCGGGAGCCGTTGTTGTTGTAGTTCGGCGGCCAGCAACCCAACCTGAGGTCCGAGACCTTCCCGTGTAAAAGACAATGTGCGAGCCCTGGGAGGGGGAGAAACAGGAGGCGCGCATCAACAACACTTCAACAACCATGTTAAGACTGCTTTCCATTACTTGCCCGCGCGCCACTCAACATGTACATCCCAAACCCTGGATACCCGACCCCTTCGTCTTCAATCGTACCGCCCTTGGGGGTATATCTTCTTTACCTGCCACGTGTAATTGGCGCAGCCCCTAAACCAGGGGAAACAGGGAGGAGGGAAGAGACAAGGGCGAGGGACAAGGATAGAGCACGAGCGAGATTAGCAAGAGTGTGGTCAGGAGCAGGAAAACAGGCGGCAGAATCCCCACGAGCGGGTCGGGCGGGCTGGTCCGAGCGGGCGGGGCGGGCGGGCGGGCCGAGACGGCGGGGTCGAGTCGGCGGGTCGCTGAAGCATCCGAGTGACAGGCGATAGCGCTATTCCCAAGTAAATCGTGAAGAAAACCGCGAGAGCGTGATTTCTGAGTGTCAGGGGCGCGGCGTTTCAATATATTGGGGGGAGTACCACGCGAGAGCGGCAGCGCAATGTTTCAAGAACCTTTGGCAACTATGAAACGGGAGTCGCCGTTGTAGTTCGGGGGCCAGGGGCCCAGTCTGAGGCACAAGGCCTTCCCTTTGTGAACAAGCTTCGCCAGCGCGGCGACCCCAAACAGGGTGCTTCTAGCAGCAGATGGTGGGCAATCAATGTGCGGCAGTGTATGTTGTGGGATATACGTGAGTCTGGTGGACGACGACGACGACGACGCGGACCCCTCGACGGCCAGGGGGGCAAGACTCGGGAGAGGCCCCCTGCGGTGTGGTGGCAGTCGCGCAGTAATGCCGGCGGTGGAGGTTTGGTTCCCGCTCCCCTTTTCTCGCCCCCCCAATACGTGTTTCTAGCAACACATGGTGGTGCAATCTATTGGCGAATCTATGGTGTACAATCTGTGCCGTGGTGCACGAGGTGTGGTGCCAACTGTTTGTTGCTCGCAGCGAGTCGTCGAGTCCACTGCTCGCGCAATCATCCAACACACACACACACACACACACACACACACACACGCAACTTGGCCTGCCGAACCCATGTGGGTGCGATTGCGATGACTGCCTGGCGCTGGCTGGCGCATCGCTGCGGACGCGCTAGCGCGCACAGGCTCCCGCGCAGGGCAGCCAGCTAGTCTGGCACGACGGACTCGGCCGCGGTTGCGCTGACCGCTGGGGACTTCCCAGCACGTCCGGCAAGCCGCGCTGACGCGCGGGAACATCAGTGCGAGTCGGTAACTCGGGCGGGCGAGGTGTGATGGCGACGTCGACAACGGCAGACACGATGACAACAGTAGCGATGCTGGTGACGATGATGACCATGACGACGGCAAGGGCAATGACGACGCCGATGCTGATCACGCCAATGACGATGATGGTGTCCTCGCGTCGGTGATGCATGTGTTGAAGGATTTCCACATGCGCGCGCGGCCGATGCGCGCGAGTGTCCCGCATGCTATTGTTTGACAAGGATAGTGCCATCCCCAGCACGCGCGCAAGAGCATTCGAATGATGTCGACATGCGCGCGCGACAGGCCCGCTTGGTCACAAATGTTGAGAAGCCGCTGGTTTTCTGAAGAAGTCCAAAGAGCCCGCGCGCATACCTTTTCGGAAAACTCGGGTTGCAAAGCCATATGTGATATAGATGTCTGGGACACTCGATTTTGCAATCCCTAGGAAACCAAGGTTTTTGAAAGATTCCGGCAAGCGCGCGCGACGACGCGCGCGTGTGCACTTCGTTGTTGTAGGGGTAGCATGTATCGAGCGTGAGCCTTGTTATTGTACGGGGAAGCTTGCAGACCCCAACTGCAAATGCCACTCCTGGGTAAAAAGCGAGGACGTGTTGAGCGACAATGCTGCTTCTGTTGGAGAGGCGGTTTTAGGCGGCGAACAAGACTACCGATCCTGAGTAAGAAGCGAGGACGTATCGAGCGGGAGCGCTGGCTTTGTTGGACGGCCAATTTTCGGCGGCGAGCAAAGGCACAGGCCCTGACTGAAAAGCAAGGGAATATCGAGCAGGAGTGCTGTTGTTGTTTGGGGGCCGGTGTGGGCGCAACCCCGAAACGCTTGAGCGTGAGCCTCACTGTCAAAGGACATGCAGCCGGCGCCGAGGCGAAAACGCCAGAGAGTACTAAGGGGGCCCAACAATAACAATTGCTATTTAGGAAAGCGCCAGGGCTCGTCGTGCTGTTTGTCACCACACACGCGGTTTACCGTGCCTTCTACGCTTCCGAGTCCTGCCTTCCACTAGTGCTCTTAGCACTCTGATCGTAATGTCAAAAGCTGCGACCTCGGCGTGGAAAGCAAAGAAGGCTGGTTGCAAATGCTGCCCGATGACATCGAGCAGCCTCGCCTCCACAACATCGTTCTCTTGGACAGCAAGCATCAGCACGACGGGCATTGGCTCCACGACCGTCGCTGAAGCCCCCACCAGGAAAGAGTCTGCAACCCCAGGGGAAGTTGTCGAGCAACGGGGCCGCACATGCGGAGAGAAAAAACAGGGCGGGAAGGCACCCGGAAGCCTCCTGGTGAGGGATAGAAGAAAGGGCGCCTCAGACCTTTGATGCCGCTGGCGTGACCAGATCCTTCCGCCCCGCCGTAGCCGCTTCCGAAGCCACGCCCGCCCTCGACGCTGTCGACGGGCGCCCCACCAGCAGCACGGCCACGCCCGCCTCCGCCGAAGGCACTCCTGTCCAGGCCGCCTTCGGGGAGGCGGCCGGCAGTGACTCCGAGGCCTGCCGACCAGGGTCGACCCACCGAGTCGAGCGCCATTATGCTGGCGAAGGACCCAACCATACGCTGTTGAGCATACCGCATTGCGGGCAAGAGTGTCGGTGGAGTTCCCTATGGGGCCACGAACCGTGTGAGGAGTGTCCCGAAATGGGGCGGCGGTGCCATGCGGACCCTGCCACTGGGGCCTTCGGTGGAGCTCCCTATGGGGCCCCGAACCGTGAGAGAGGTGTGCCGACATTGGGCGGCGGTGCCATGCGGACCCTGCCCTGGGGCCTTCGGTGAAACTCCCTATGGGGCCACGAACCGTGTGAGGGGTGTGCCGAAATGGGGCGGCGGGGCCATGCAGACCCTGCCACTGGGGCCTTCGGTGGAGGTCCCAATGGGGCCACGAACCGTGTGAGAGGTGTGCCCACATGGGGCGGCGGTGCCATGCGGACCCTGCCACTGGGGCCTTCGGTGGAGCTCCCTTTGGGGCCACGAACCGTGTGAGGGGTGTGCCGACATGGGGCGGCGGTGCCATGCGGACCCTCCCGCTGGGGCCTTCGGTGGAGCTCCCTGTCGGGCCACGACCCATGTGGGGGATGTGCCGAAACTGGGCGGCGGTGCCATGCGGACCTTGCCACTGGGGCCTTCGGTGGAGCTCCCTCTGGGGCCACGAATCGTGAGAGAGGTGTGCCGACATGGGGCGGCGGTGCCATGCGGACCCTGCCACTGGGGCCTTCGGTGGAGAAATGGGGCGGCGGTACCATGCGGACCCTGCCACTGTGACCTTCGGTGGAGCTCCCTATGGGGCCACGGACCGCGTGAGGGGTGTGCCGAATTGGGGCGGCGGTGCCATGCGGACCCTGCCACTGGGGCCTTCGGTGGAGCTCCCTATAGGGCCACAACCCATGTGAGGGGTGTCGAGAAATGGGGCGGCAGTGTCATGCTGACCCTGCCACTGGGGCCTTCGGTGGAACTCGCTGTGGGGCCACGAACCGTGTGAGGGGTGTGCCGACATGGGGCGGCGGTGCCATGCGGACCCTGCCACTGGGGCCTTCGGTGGAGCTCCCGAAATGGGGGCGGTGCCATGCGGGCCCTCCCGCTGGGGCCTTCGGTGGAGCTCCCAATGGGGCCACGGACAATGGGAAGGGTGTGCCGAAATGGGGCGGTGGTGCCATGCGGACCCTGCCATTGAGCTTATGGGGCCACGAACCGTGAGAGAGGTATGCCGACACGGTGCCATACGGACCCTGCCACTGGGGCCTTCGGTGGAGCTCCCTATGGGGCCACGAACCGTGAGAGGGGTGTGCCAACATGGGGCGGCGGTACCATGCGGACCCTCCCGCTGGGGCCTTCGATGGAAATCCCTATAAAACCACAAGCCGTGTGAGGGGTGTGCCGAAATGTGGCGGCGGTGTCATGCGGACCCTGCCACTGGGGCCTTCGGTGGAGCTCCCTATGGGGCCACGATCCATGTGAGGAGTGTCCAGAAATGTGGCGGCGGTGCCATGCGGACCTTGCCATTGGGGCCTTCGGTGGAGCTCCCTATGGGGCCACGAACCGTGAGAGAGGTGTGCCCAAATGGGGCGGCGGTGCCATGCTGACCCTCCCGCTGGGGCATTCGGTGGAGCTCCCTATGGGGCAACGAACCGTGTGAAAAGTGTGCCGACATGGGGCGGTGGTGCCATGCGGACCCTCCCGCCAGGGCCCTCGGTGGAGCTCCCAATGGGGCCACGAACCGTGTGAGGGGTGTCCCGAAATGGGGCGGCGGTGCCATGCGGACCCTGCCACTGGGGCCTTCGGTGGAGCTCACTATGCAGCCACGAATCATGTGAGGGGTGTGCCGACATGGGGCGGCGGTGCCATGCGGACCCTCCCGCTGGGGCCTTCGGTGGAGCTCCCCATGGGGCAACGAACCGTGTGAGGGGTATGCCGAAATGGGGCGGTGGTGTCATGAGAAACCCTACCACTGGGGCCTTCGGTGGAGCTCCATATGGGGCCACGAACCGTGTGAGGGGTGTGCCGAAATGGGACGGCGGTGCCATGCGGACCCTCCCGCTGTGGCCTTCGGTGGAACTCCATATGGGGCCACGAACCGTGTGAGGGGTGTGCCGAAATGGGGCGGTGGTGCCATGCGGACCCTGCCACTAGGGCCTTCGGTGGAGCTCCCTATGGAGAACCGTGTGAAGGGTGTGCCGAAATGGAGCAGCGGTGCCATGGGGACCCTGCCACTGGGGCCTTCGGTGGAGCTCCCTATGGGGCAACGAAAGGTGTGCGGGGGGGGCCGAAATGGGGCGGCGGTACCATGCTGACCCCTCGCAGGGGCCTTGGGTGGAGCTCCCTATGGCGCCACGACACGTGTGGGGGGGTGCCGAAATGGTGTGGCTGTGCCATGCAGGCCCTCCCGCTGGGGCCTTCGGTGGAATTTGCTGTGGGGCCACGAACCGTGAGAGAGGTTTGCCGACATGGGGCGGCGGTGCCATGCGGACCCTCCCGCTGGGGCCTTCGGTGGAGCTCCCTATGAAACCACGGAAGGTGTGAGAGGTGTGCCGACATGGGGGCGGTGCCATGCGGACCCTGCCACTGGGGCCTTCGGTGGAGCTCCCTATAGGGCCACGAAACGTGTGAGGGTGTGCCGACATGGGGCGGCGGTGCCATGCGGACCCTCCCGCAAAGGCCTTCGGTGGAGGTCCCAATGGGGCCACGAACTGTGTGAGGGATGTCCCGAAATGGGGCGGCTGTGCCATGCGGACCCTCCCGCTGGGGCCTTCGGTGGAGCTCCCTATGGGGCCACGAACCGTGAGAGGGGTGTGCCAACATGGGGCGGCGGTGCCATGCGGACCCTCCCGCTGGGGCCTTCGGTGGAACTCCCTATAAAACCACAAGCCGTGTGAGGGGTGTGCCGACATGGGGCGGCGGTGCCATGCGGACCCTCCCGCTGGGGCCTTCGGTGGAGCTCCCTATGGGGCCACGAAACGTGTGAGGGATGTACCGAAATGGGGCGGCGGTGCCATGCGGACCCTGCCACTGGGGCCTTCGGTGGAACTCCCTATGGGGCCACGAACCGTGTGAAAGGTGTGCCGACATGGGGCGGCGGTGCCATGCGGACCCTCCCGCTGGGGCCTTCGGTGGAGCTCCCCATGGGGCAACGAAACGTGTGAGGGGTGTGCCGACATGGGGGCGGCGGTGCCATGCGGACCCTCCCGCTGAGGCCTTCGGTGCCGTGTGAGGAGTGTACCGAAATGGGGCGGCGGTGCCACGCGGACCCTCCCGCTGGGGCCTTCGGTGGAGCTACCTATGGGGCAACGAAACGTGTGAGGAGTGTGCCGACATGGGGCGGCGGCGCCATGCGGACCCTCCCGCAGGGGAGGAAGAGGGGGAAAGGAGAGGAGAGGAACGCGGGGCGCTGTCTCTTCAAAACGAGGACCCTACACCACAGGATGGTTGGGAAGCATTTCACAAAGGAGTGGGAGACGCAGCAGCAGCAGCAGCAAGGTCCTCCAGGGCCCCCCCCCCGTGCCACAGGTCGACCCGCTCCCAGTGCCGAGGATGGCCTTGCAGCAAGGCGATGCCTTGCACCAAGCTCCCCATCCAGAAGCTCTGTGCTCCCACGGGGCGACGGGGGAGACGAGAACAGGCAGGCGGGGCAGGGGCAGGAGGCACAGACTTGGCTGGTCCGTTGGCGGAGTGGGGCCTCGGCCCCGCGCATGGAGGCGCGCCTCGCTGGGGGCGCCTTCCGCGCCCGACTCCCCAACAACGCTTGCGCCAAGAGGTCCTGCCCAAGGCGGGAAAGATTGCGGATGGTGGGCTTGATTTCCAGGTGGTCGCATAGAACCCCGCCAACAGTGTCACGCCCATGGCTGCCCTCGTTCATTGAGTTTTCCAGTGAGTGCGCAGGGCCCCAGCCGTAGGGGGGACCCTTGGTCCAAGAGGGCCCCGCTGTTGGTTTCCTGAGCTTGCCAGACTTACACATCCATGTAGAAGGTCCCGTGAGGTCGCGACGATAGTGTCCCCAACGCAGCGAGCCCAAACAATTTCAGGTTAACGATGCCGGATGTCCACGTGCTTACTGTCGCGGCTACTGCCCATAGATGTTCACTTGCACAGGTGCGGTCAACAATCAAGATCATGGAGAAACTGGAGCGCAAGGATGGCGGCCTCACCCCCAACAAAACGCCTACCCGATGACCGATGGCGACTTCGCGACCCTGCGACCAGGCGACCTGGCGACCTTTGGCGACCCAGCGGCCCCATGACCCGGCGACCTGCGGCGACCTAGCGGACCCAGCATTTTGTGGCCAACCTGGCGACGCGCGCCTCCAAGCCACCGCCCCCTTCCTTGTCCAGACCGCTCTCCGAATTGTTGTTTCTGTGGCATCCACAGCCGAGATACAAGGGGAGCTCAACAAAGGATCTGCGGGCCCGCAGGAGAGCAGCCCGAAAGGACATCCAAAATCACCCCCGTGCAACGCCTCGAACACTTCCCACTTGTCCATCCCTCCAGCTCTCCTCCTACCCTATGAGCTTTCAAAACACCGGATACAAAGTTAAGGCATTGGCCGTTTTACCAGAACGCAAGTTGTGTACGTACCCTCTGGGCGCAGGAGATGGCTCAAGAAAGCACGGCTCAAGTATCGTATAGGAGACGTGCGCAAAACAAACACATTGCGTACCGAGCCAAAATATACAGCACATGATTTGCTGTGTGGTGACATCCTGTCAGCTTCGGAAAGCAAACGTTGACAAGTGGCTCCCCCCGTAGAGATCAAGGAAACGGCCTGTCTGCCTTGCCTGTACTGGCCGAGAGTGCGCCACATGCACCGCACAATGAACGCACGCCACCCAGATAACACCGCACGCTGTGCGTCTCATCAGGGCCTGCTCCAGCGGTCAAGCCTCTGCTCGCCTGCTCGCATGGTCTGCTCTATCTGGGTCGGGGGGAGCGCCGACCGCGTGACTCTGAGATCCGCCCTCGCCCCCATTTTTCCTGCAGCACATTTCAAGCAGGATCAGTCCACGAGGGCCAAAGGGACCGCAACATGGCGAACACGCCAAACGTGAAAACTCTGCGGCGCCCAGAACTCAGGATAGGCTGGGGCAGGGTGCCACGCGCACGGGGGACACCCTCCATCATAAAAGTCGTGATTGTCGCCAGCGGGCCTCCTCCAAAGCCGCCGCCGCCAAAACCGCCTCGGGCGGGGCAGGGCAGGGCAAATACGGCGGAAGCGAATCTCCTCCTGCTGCTCTTTATCCCCCTCCCCCTGCCACCCTCCTTCTCCTCATCCTCCTCCTCCTCCGCATTCTCCTCCTCATCTTCCTCCTCCTCCTCCTCCTCTTCCTCCTCCTCCTCATCCTCCTCCTCCTCTTCCTCCTCCTCCTCCTCCTCCTCATCCTCCTCCTCTTCCACCTCCTCCTCCTCCTCCTCCTCCTCCCTCCTCCTCCTCCTCCTCCTCCATCATCATCATCATATCATCATCATCATCATCATCATCATCATCATCATCATCATCATCATCATCCATCATCATCATCATCATCATCATCATCATCATCATCATCATCATCATCATCATCATCATCATCACATCATCATCATCATCATCATCCTCATCATCATCATCATCATCATCATCATCATCATAATCATAATCAGCATCATCATCATCATCATCATCATCATCAGCATCATCAGCATCATCATCATCATCATCATCCTCATCATCATCATCAGCATCAGCATAATCATCATCATCATCATCATCATCATCATCAACAACATCAGCATCATCATCATCATCAGCATCATCACATCAGCATCAGCATCATCATCATCATCAGCATCAGCATCATCATCAGCATCATCATCATCATCGTCATCGTCATCGCATCATCATCATCAGCATCAGCATCATCATCATCATCATCATCAGCATCATCATCATCATCATCATCATCGTCGTCGTCGTCATCATCATCATCATCATCATCATCATCATCATCATCATCATCATCATCATCATCATCATCATCATCATCATCATCATCATCATCATCATCCCCCTCCTTCTCCGCGTCATGATCCTTCCCCTCATCCTTCTCCTCCTCATCCTCCCCCCCTCTCAGCTCCCCTTCGGCCCCTTTGTATGCCGTGCCCTACTACCCGTATCCACCAATATCTACCAACAGCATCATCATCATCATCATCATGTATCCCTCGATCCCTCTGCTCCGTTCCGCAGCGCGTGCGAGCTCCAATTACCCCCTCCTTCTCTGTCATTCCTCCTTCCCCTCCTGTTCCCAATCCTCCTCCCAGTCCATCTCGAGTTTGGTATTAGGGGCATGACCCCCAAGTACGATTGCGAACTATGTAGATGCATGTATAAGTAGACATACGATGATGTATGCATACGCGTATGCACGAGCGTGTACCTTTATATGAATCGGTTGGTTGGTGGAAGCTGACCACATTCATGAAACACCTCAACGCGCGCAACGCACATACACACACATACATGTATGTGCATGGTCGCATGTACATGTGCGAACGCGTATTCGTATATCCATGCACCTGTCTGTGTATGTGCAACCACTGGGCACGAGACGTCTCAAGAAGTATGGACATCGAAAAAGACGATCTGACCAAAAACGGGAGTGACCATCTTATTACGTATCACATCTTATGGCATACGGATCCAGCATACACAAGCGAACACGCATCGTGGCGGCAAGTTATGAAGCCTTCCTCGCGGCAGCGTTCAGGGGGAGACGTGCAGCTACATGCGACGGCTTAGGAGGATCATTTCTTGTAGGCAGTGGTGAGACGATCGCACCGCGGTCAGAGCGGCAACCTGGCCACGGAGGCGTTAATTACGTGCCAGAAGACGCGCAGAAGAACTGATAACGGGGCGGCCGCGAGGGGGAGAAAGAAGGAGAACATGCAGCTCTTCGGGTACATTGTTGCAGCCTCACGATCCTGAGGCATTCATTCGTGTGAAGCAGGCGACGGTGCCAACGCGGGGTCACCGTAACTGAACAGTCCAGGGGGTGCGACTGGGCAGCGCGCAAGGGCAACGCACGTGAGAACAGTCGCACCGAATCCAACCGCGGCGACGGCAGGAGAGGCGAAGGGCAAACCCACGCCCACGATAGGAGCTGAGACCCGCCGACGACGCGAACGAGGCGGATGCGACGGGCATGCCATCAAAAAACTACAAGATCTGCTAGGCAAAGAGCTGGCACTCGAGACGAGACGTGCAAGGGGCACACTAGAAAAAACAATAATTCTGCAATGCTGCGCCGTGGGTTCAGCATACAGGGGCAGGCGGGGCAAATGGCGGCCAGGCGCGCAGAGCAACACATCCGGAGGCACGTCAACGAAGACTTGGGACTTGGCTTATTGTGATACCTTTGAGGCGCGTGTAGCTTATTTTTTTGTTCCAACCTCCTTCCCCTTCGGAGACTCAGGGGGGGTGGCCTGTTCCTTATTAACGCACACACACACACACACACACACACGCACACACGCACGCACGCACGCACGCACGCACGCACGCATGCATGCACACATAACACACACACACACACACACACACACACAGACACACACACACACATGATTCGGCGACGCACAGGAACCGCAGGCGCGGTCGGGAGATGGAGGCCCCAATTGCGAACGAACTGAATGGGACGAGCCGTGATTGAACAGGCCAGCCATCGAAGTGCAGAAAGTGGAATGGTAGGAAAACGAGAGGCGCTGCAAAGCCATCATGCGGCGGCCAATAAGCCCCCGGAACATAAGCTCGACGTGGGTAATTTGACGCGCATGCACCAGTCTGGTGCTAATTGAAGGTCAAAATGCCAGAAGCACAAGAACTGCAAGGCTGCCAAACCCGCCACATTAAAGCGGCGCATACACGCAGGAGTCTGCGCGTCGACACCGCCATCGATCTGACGCAGGCGAAACCGAAAACAGCAACCGAACAGCAGCGTGTACCAGGTGGCGTGAAAAAGGCTTTCCCGCGGCCGACACGACCGGGCTTCAAAACACAAAACCGAACGCGGGCGACCGTGAACGACAGCGCAAAACGCGCGACACATGGGCGGTGGCCGACATGCAATGCAGAAGCCGAATTGAAAACAGCTAACCCCAACCGCAACCAGTGCCACGACGGCTACCAGCGAGGCAGGTTGGCAAGGCCAGGCAACATGGACCAACCCTCAAGGCCCAAAGATGACTGCACGCGTCACCGCGAAGTCGCACCACTCCGACCAGCTGGTGGCAAATTAAAAGCAAGGACCAAGCGAACCCGCCAACACTACGCCGGCGGACACGCGGGAGCACGCTCACATACAGCTGAAGCCCAGGAGCCACAGCAAACAGCAGCCCCGGCAACGGACGCGCACACCTGGATGTGACGGCCAGGTGCAAAAAGAAGAAGCCGCGAACCCTCCGGCCCGCACCCCACACCAGGGCGCAATCAGCATGGCGGCAAGGCCACCGCCGGCCCAGCGGACAGACGGAAAAACGGCGCCAACCACGACGAATGCAACGCGGAAATAGCCACGCGCACCCGAGAGGGGCGCAAGAGCCCGAGCGACGGGCGGCACATGGGCGGCGCGGACACGGCAACGGCCGAATACCACGAGATTCCCAGAAGTGCAAATCAGCCAGAATGCCGAAGGTCCTCTGCCTAAGGCGGCACAGAAAAATGTAGCGGCCAGAAGGATGGCGGCGCGGCCAGCAACCCCAGGGCGAAACCTGGGGAGCACGCAACACGAAAGGCGGGCCGTGGCCAAGCCAGCCCACAACCTATGACGGCGCGTGGGCAACGAGGCGACAAGGCCAGCGCTGGGCCCAGAGGACAAAAGAAAAAAACGCTACCAAACAAGGTGGCACGAGGAAACTGCCTCGCGCACCGAGTGGAGCGAAAGGTACAGGCCTGCAGGCGGCCAAAAGGCCCCAAGCGCCTAAAGCGACGAAACGACAATGCGGCAGAGACCGCCAACGGTGTCGCAGGACAAGCCGCGTGGCAACTGCAGGGCCCGAAGAATAAGCCCACCATTCCGGCGGTCGCCGCGCGGAGTGAAGCCAGGGCGGAGAGCTGCGACAAGCGGGGTCGGCGTCGCAAGAGGCCACTGCAAGGACACGCAGTGGCGCGCAAAGAAGGAAGCAAATGGGAGGAGACAGAGCGGGGCGGAGCGGGGGGGCACCCCCACAATTAACACCGCACAAGGCACGGTTAAGGCCGCCCTCAAGTCACTGATAGCAAAGCATGGGCGGGGGCGAGGCATAGCCTCCGACCAGCTCACGTCGCCGTTCGCAACGCGACGTCGCCCTCGAACGTCCCGTCGGCCTCGCCCCCCCCCCCTCTGGAAGGTGTTGACTGGCCGGAACATGGGCGGGGGACAAGCGCGAATGTGAAGTGGGCCACGGCAGATATGACACTCGCCCTCCCTCGTTTCGCACACGACGCATAACGGCGCGCAGTGTCCGGGAAATCACGCTTCATTAGGCATCCCCCCGACGGCCTGGCTCGGCAACAACGCGCCGCGAGACGCCGCGCGGGGAATTGGCGCACATGGGAAGACAAGCCCACCGTAGACCTCTGCATGCAAAAAACGCGTCTGCACCACCAAAGCAGGCCCCACAAACTGGCGTCCTCTGCCGTGGCAGCCACTGTTCGGATGGGATGCGATCCACAGCATAGCAGATGCGCATCTCCCTGGAAAGATGGGCGGCACGAGGCCGGTCGTCTCCTAGGTTTGCGCCCGCACAGACTTTAAAGGCCTCAGAGCCACACAGCACGCACGGCCGCATGAGCCATCGATAACGGTCGGCTGCCTCCGAGGCTTCGAGGACAGGGAGGGCCGCCGCCAAGAATGCGAGCCAGGGACCGTCTGCGCTTGAGCCTGCAGGGCTACCAGCGACTGTCACGCTCGGCCATGAACTGGCTGGTGCCACGAAAGATCTGACCCCTGTCGTGACCCCTCCCCGCCCGCGATAAGCCGTCCGACTCGTGGAGTTGGTGCTAAACTCCCAGAGTTCCGCACGCAGCTCATGGGCTTGGATGAAAGCCCGTAGCTGCAGCACAGAGCCGAGTAACCAAGGGTCCTTGACCGCCGAAGCAAATCCGTCCGAGTGGCGGGCGTCTGCCCAGCGGTCCCACGTAGATTGCCAAGCGGGCGCGCCA